ATAAAACATTTTTTCTCAACTGTATGGTAAGAAAAAATGTAGTAATATAAAGTTGGCATTACTAATACAACTTTTTTTTTTTTTTGAGACAAAGTCTCAGTCTGTTGCCCTCGGTAGAATGCTGCGGCATCACAGGTCACAGAAACCTCCAACTCTTGGGCTTAAGTGATTCTCCTGCCTCAGCCTCCCGAATAGCTGGGACTACAGGTGCCCACCACAACGCCTGGCTAGTTTTTGTTGCAGTTGTCATTGTTGTTTAGCAGGCCCAGGCAGGGTTCTAACCTGCCACTCTCCAGATATGGGGTCAGCGTCCTACCCACTGAGCCACAGGTGCTACCCTACTAATATAACTTTTATATGACAAGGATTTTTATATAAAGAGGAAACGGGTTGCTTTGCTTTAGCCTGAATACCAATTATTAGTAAACTATTTTCCCTGGTACAGTAAATTCAGTCGACAGGGTTGATTTCTAGAAGCTGGAAGAATTTAGAGACATCCTACAAATACTCTCTGCTGTGTTTTCCTTTTTGTCATTTTCTTTATTAATTTCCCTACATAAAACTATTGTTTGAGTAGTGAAATAACCATGTAGCCTTGGTCATATCCATTCAGCAATGCAAAAATATCGTCCTCAGTAATCTTGGTTTGTTTCAGTCTCTTAAGGTTATTTTTACTCCCCCTGAAGCAGGCGTCCTCAAACTACAACCTGCGGGCCACATGTGGCCAGCTGAGGACATTTATCTGGCCCACTGGGTGTTTTTGCCACTGCTGCCTGTCCTGCTTAGCAGCTGACTCGTCCTGGGGCCTGCAGTCCGGCCCTCAAAGGGTCAGAGGGACAGTGAACTGGCCCCCTGTTTGAAAAGTTTGAGGACCCCTGGATTAGAGACAATTCCTTGAAGGAGATTAACTGCTCTCCTCTTTTTTTCCTGCTTGTGATTCTTCGAGGAGTAGTGGGACCCTTAGACCAGTCTGTTTTCGACATAGACTTTTTGTACTGTTGAAAGAAATACGTCTACTAAACATGTCCAGAGAGGTTGTTAATAGAACCTTCCCATAAACACTTAACTACTTATTTTCACTGAGTCTGATTTCTTCTATAAAAGGATCCATCCTTTTAGTTGGCAGATTTAGAGAATTAAATGTGATAATCAATCAATCTTACAACCACTAACCAAATTTAGTATTAGTTTTAAGCTTATTTTATTAAATCACATATTACCATATTTAAGGTAAACATTTTCCAAAATCAGCAGTTTTTGTTTTGACATAATATTTTCTTTTTTATTTGAGATAGGCGAAATGATCAAATGTTTGGGTTTAGGAATCAAACAGAAACAACTTCAAGCCATTTATTATCTGTGTAACTATGGGTAATTTATTTAATCTTTATTAGGCCTGAGTTTCTTCATCTGCAAATCTGAGATATTAGTAGTATGTACTGAATTAAATTCTTGTACATTTTGAAGGAATTAGTATACACATTAGTTACAGAGTGAACGCTCTGAGTGGACGTTATGGTCGGCATTCGATTTGAGATTTAATTAACATTTTAACTGTCTTTCCCACCATTTTCTTTTTCCTCATGAATTTCCTGATTAGTGCTCTTGGTTTACAAGAACTGCTCCTGCATTCTCCTAGCTCACTGCATTTTCACACATCATCTCTGATGCTACAAAAATTATGAGTTTGGGGGGGTTCCAAATAAGGAAACCAAGTTATATGACTCCACCCCCACCCCCCCACCAAAGATCATGCAGCTAGTAAAAGGCAAAGCCAGGACCTAAACACTAATCTTCTCACCATGCTGGCATTGAGAAGGTCATTTCCACTGACAGCTTTGGACTAGCAACATCATTGTCAAGAAAGTCTTCTCATTTGTTGTAAATTTCTATAGTAGCCAACATGAATTTAGCAGTTTATATGCACTTCATATTATATAGCAACTGTATGCACTATATACTTCTACTCTAGGCATAACAAACCATGAAACTGGCACTCTTATTACCCTGTTTTCACAGATAAGAAAAGTGGAAGCTAGTAAGTGGTAAAGTTCAGATGGGAAAGGAGAAAGGTTTCCTCTAGGGCCCTATGCTCTTCAACACTCTGCTATCCTGCTTATCACAACTTGCACTGCCACTTTTACTACATTTCAAACTTCCATTGATCCTTAAGCAGTGAATTTCAACAGGTCATATGTTTCTTTAAAAAAAAAAAAATCAAAAAACTGGCTTGGCACCCTTAGCACAGTGGTTATGGTGTCGGCCACATACATGGAGGCTGGCAGGTACAAATCCAGCCCAGGCCAGCTAAACAACAATGACAACTGCAACAAAACAAATAGCCAGGCACTGTGGCAGGCACCTGTAGTCAAAGCTACTTGGGAGGCTGAGGCAAGAGAATCACTTAATCCAAGGGTTTGAGGTCGTGGTGAGCTGTAACGCCACACCACTCTACCCAGGGTGACCTAGTGAGACTCTGTCTCAAAAAAACAAACAAAAAAATCAAAAAACAAGATTTTGCCCCATTCATATTTGATGTTTTGAATAGAAGTTATTTCTTACAAGATGTGTACTCTCACATGCAGAACTGGCTACATCTACACTCTGCTATCCTGCTTATCGCAACTTGCACTGCACACTTTTACTACATTTCAAACTTCCATTGATCCTTAAGCAGTGAATGTCAACAGGTCATATGTTTCTTAAAAAAATAAATAAATAAACTGGCTTGGCGCCCGTAGCACAGTGGTTACGGAGTCAGCCACATACACGGAGGCTGGTGGGTACAAACACAGCCCAGTGCAAAAGGAAAATATGGGACTCTTAAGCGAAAAATTCTTTTTTTTTTGAGACAGGAGCCTCAAGCTGTCCCCCTGGGTAGAGTGCAGTGGCATCTCAGCTCACAGCATCCTCCAACTCCTGGGCTCTAGCGAGTCTCCTGCCTCTGCCTCCCAAGTAGCTGGGACCACAGGCATCCGCCACAAGGCCCGGCTATTTTTTTTTTGGTTGCAGCCGTCATTGTTGTTTGGTGGGCCCGGGCTGGATTAGAACCCACCACCTTGGGTGTACATGGCTGGCGCCTTAGCCACTTGAGCCACAGGCGCCGAGCCAAGCGAAAAATTCTTAAGACTTTTACTGAAATCAAGTGTGTGATCTTCCCGAGCATGAGGCTCTGTGAGACCACTTAAGTAGCAGGTCCCTGGCATGGACCATGATCTCACAGCCCATCACACTGAATCTGGCCTTGCCCCTGTGCAACCATCCTCCTGTAGACCCACATAAAGGTCACAGTCTGAGTAGACCAGAAGTGCTGCTGCAGAATGAGAGCGTTCTGAGGCGATGTTATCCTTGGTGAAGCAGAACTTGGGAGGGCAGACTACTTGTCCTGTGAAAAAAGAGAAGTATAGACCACTTTTTATCTTAGCAGTCCAGAGTGAAGTGGTAGTCAGGAAGTGGGCAGGCACAGAAAGAGGAAGCGCTGGGAACCCACACCATCCCATAGCGAGGGAAGCACGCTCCGTCTTCACAGAAAGGGTGGCAGAAACCTGTGAAATATATCCACATACCTTTGTTGTTTGTGGGGGGAGGGGACCACATTAAGTTATGCCTAAAATTAATAAGCCTGCAGCTGGTTATTAAAGTGCTTTTTGCCCTTTTCAAAGTAGAGACAAAAATAATGTTTTAGTCTTTCTTCCTTCTAAAATAGAAAAGAACTGCATTTCTAAAAAAAAAATCTGTTATGAATTTTTAGACCTTTGTTCATGTTGTGAGTATATGTCATTTAATCAGTCAAAAAATCAGAGTTGGTGCTTTGAGAGTCAGTGTAAATAGGCTTAAACTTGACTCTTTCTTTTTACTGATTCTGTGACCTTGAGAAAGTTAATTGAACTCTCTGAGCCTCAGGTTTTACCCTACAAAATGAGAAAAATATTAACCTCAGAGGATTATTGTAAGAATTCAATGCAAAAAGGTACTTAATGCACTATCTACCTGGCATATCATAAGAACTAAACAAATTACAGAGACATTATTTCACATAAATACAAATGTATTTTAAGCATACATATTTTATATAAGTATATTTATGTTTTCTATACATCTTTAAGTATGCTGTGTATGTGTATTAAGTATATATTCTGAGTTCTAGACTCTTGGATATTAATAAAGGGGGCTTGATTGCCTAGGGAAAACTTCTTTTTGGGCTTCTTCCCATCATTGCTATTCAACACGTAATTTACCTAGCATGCAAATTGAATTACTATTGCCTGCGCAATTGAGGACTTTCTTAGCCTAATCCCTATGCTTCGCATGAAACTGATAGAGTGAATGTTTACTTGAATATAAATGTAACATAATCCTCAGAAACAGCCAGGTGTGCTTCCTATGTGACATGGTGATAATACACTTCCGGGTGCTGGTGGGAGCATCGATGGGGATATATAAAGTGTCATCTGTCTTCCTTAGATAGCACGTCTTTTTAGCTACCTGATGTGTTTTTTATGTGTCTCTTGATTTTAAGCACAGAAAATAAAACGGAAGAAGCTTGAAGCTATGGTATCTTTTTCCTAGTGCACTGACAGGACATATCTGTATTCACCAAAAACTGTCAATTTGAAAAAAATGAAGAAAAAGCAAAATCAACTGTACAAAGAGTCTTTAACATTTCTTATTGTCTAAGAAAGCAAATGAGTATGAAAATAAAGATTGTTTCTCTATTGTCTTAGGTGTGGATAAAATAATTTCAAGAGTCTCCTTTTCAAACTCTGTTTGTTACATGTGTTTTCTGGTCAGCGAGTCACTTGTTTTGTGTCTCTGCCTCACAGAAGTTCCACTGCACGAGGTCTCAGAATTGATGCTCTGACTAAGTTATTCCTGGACTTTTGAATTATTAATTTTGGCTGCATGCTATGCAAATCAGACTGCACTAACCACATCCAGCCACACAGCACTGGGTCAGAAGCTGCATCCAGCTGCTGGCAGCATTTCTGTCAGGAGATCACGGCTTCCACAGCAATGGTAAGCTACACGACAACTCCTGCCTCTTGGGGACATAAAGTAATGCCACAGTTCCTGGTGGGGGCTTCTTTTAAATTTTAAATTGCCTGTGGGCAACTCAGGTTTTAAACAATCTTTACATGAATTATTTATAAGTGGATGTAAAATAGCAAAAGAAAGTAAAAGGAAAGTCATTACTTTTACAGGCACATTAATTTTTTTACCAAATTAAATGTTTTAATTGCCAAATACTACATTACCTTTCCTTAAAGAGGTTTATCATATTTTCTAAAGTCTTGGTAACTTATATTTTACCAAAATAATATTTGGATTTACTTAAATCAATAGAACCACTTATGGAAAATAAAGTTGCTATATAATTTGAAACAACCTATCATATAGAACATTTTTATATTTAGAAAATTATGCATTAGAGGGAATTTTCAGGTGTCTAAAACTTAAATTTAGCATGTGTGTATAAAGGACATTATTCAAAAATACAATTCACTTAGGGAAAAGTGGAAAATTGTAGAAATCAATGGGATTCTCCTTCCTAGAGATTTTCATAATTTGTGATGTATTCTTAAAGGAATTAACACACACGATTTGATTTTTCATTACTTTTGAATACCTTAGTTGCTGGTGTCATTTATGGACTATATAAAACTAAGTCATCAATATTTTATCTTTCCTGTATAAATATATCTTTTTATTTAAATTGCCCAGTAATAAAAAAAGCACCTTGTTAAAAAATCCTCATATTGCTATGTGAATTTGCCTTAAAGGAGCAGCTAAAAATAAAAACAACTTCATAAACATTTTGTTTGTGATGATGATAAGAAAAAAATAATATCAAAGCTAAAAAAACTATCAAACATATATTTTTAAACTTCTAAGTTTCATAAATAAACATTTTTAGGAGGCTGAGTATATTTAACATAACAGAAACCTTATTTTCAAATTAAAAATGAGGACTGCTTACCTGCTTATGTGTAAATGAGATACTGCTTCTGGTTTATTAATTGTGATAAGTTTATATACATTTTGGACAGGGAATTATGGACTTTAATTGCCAATATCTTTTTTAAAAAATGCCTGTGAAAATTATTCATGTTACCCAGTTATAACTTATTTATTTATCACTAGTTCCATTACCTTAATATCAAGAATGTAACCACTAGGAAGAAGAAGAAAGAATATTAATTTTTCTTGAGGAAATTTTGTCTTCAGTTGAGAGTTTTGCTTAAAGAAACAGCTTCCTTTATCCATTTGCAGAAGAGCGATGGCCACACTCAGACACACATAACTACAAATATCATCCAATTCGGGATGGAATAAATATTCAAAATTGTAGGTCCTGGTGAACTTAAATTGGCCTACAAATATTGGACAGCTTATAATTTAGATCATAATTTATTAATATTATACACTTAGAAAAAACAATTAAATGAAATGAATGTATCAACGCAGCAGTGTACAAAGCATCACAAAAGCATCGTCTCATAATTGCAACTATAAATTCAAATAAATGGTAAATCTAGAAGGGTATTCAAACATTAGGAATGATTGGTTTACAGACGATTTGTATTTTTTATTATTGCCCATGTGCCTTTTCTGAATGTTACACAATGAACGTTAACTTTGTACATGCATATTTTTTAAAAAACTCTTCAACGAGAAGAATGAAGCAACCACTCCAGGAGAAAGAGGACAAAAGGGACTATTGAGTCACTCGGCTTTCTTACTCCAGCCCTGGTATTCTATACTACTCCCCCGACCCCCACTACTTCCTCAGTGCGCAACCCTCTGTACGAATGTAAAGCAGAAGAAGTTTCCATATTTTCAAGTCCCCTCTCACTTGCCTGAGTGGAAGGCATAGGAAATCTGGCTTCTAGTCGTACAAGTCTTCATGGCTTAATTTTCTTCCCATGGCAGTCACACCTTTCTGCTGAGCACGCACCACATTAGCTGCAGAGAGGTCAGTACTTACTAGGCAGAAAGATAAGTGTTCCGGTCAGAAAAAAAGGAAATTCAAAAATGAAACAAATTGTCTTGTTTCAAGGAACCTTCCGATATCTTAATTTTCATTTGAGTTTGTCCAGCAGCTTTTTTGTACCCCCAAAACAACAAAAGAGTTCAAACCTGAGCCCCGAGGATCCCCAACATTTAAAACTCAGTCAGAGAAAAATCAGGCCACAAAACGGTCTGCAAATTAAGGACAGAGGGGAAACAAGGAGAGTGTTGTGTTGTGTGCGAGGCAGGAAGAGACTGCTTTCAAAGGCAGATCCAAAAGCTACTAAGAATATAGTTAAGAATAATAGTGAAAAATGGGCCCTTGGTCTAAAAAACAGTCTATTCATTCTTCAAAAAGTCCATTGACCCATTTTTCATTTCTACAAACTTTAAAGTTGTGATATCATCAATATCAGAAACATAAAAATTGGGGAACAAGCTGGATCTGGAGTAAGCCCCCCAAATGATCTTTATCTCAGCGAACTAGGGGGCAAAGTTATTTTTATAAATAAAACACTCTCAAAATACCAATGATATTAGCTGAAGTAAACCCCTTGAATGTGACAAAAGTCTATACGAACTTCCTGATGCCTTCATTATAGCTAGTTGTAGAGAATTTTCCAGTCTTCCTGGGAGAAAAAGCGGTTCGGTTACATTTATTCTTATTTTGCTCTGTTTACCAAAATACTATATAGGAAAAATCATGTCATGTAACTAATAACCAGCAGCCTATTTGACAAGGAAAGTTTTAGAAAATTTGATTTTCCACTTTGGCTTTTCCTCTCTAGAAATGAATAAGCTTTAATGTTAATATTTAACAATGGTAATCCAGTATATTTTTCAGGTATTTTTCAGGTATACTCTATCCAGTCATAATCTGGCTTTATTACAAGAGAGAAGATGGCAAGTTAGCAAGACCCTTGAGATTTGAATTAATCAGATTGCTTATTTTCATGGTCCCCATGTAGGAGATATTAGAATAAAGATCTTTTACTAGATGTCTGATCTCAGCAAGTCTGAAGATTGGTGTCTCTTCAAAATTTATATATTAGAACCAAATAGTACTAGGCAGTGGAGTCTGTTCCTTGTTCTTTCTGGCATTGCTGTAAGAACGTGGAGAGAGGTGCCATCTTTGAAGCGGAGGGTAACTCCTCTCCAGACTCCAAATCTGCTAGCACCCTGATCTTTGATGTCCCAGACTAAACAATGTCAGAAATAAATTTCCATTACTTATAAATTACCTCCTCTGGGGAGGAGGTATTTAGTTATAGCACCAGGGACAAACTAAGACAGCAAGATATTTAACTCCCCAAGCTCAGTGATATCTTGTGTCATGTGAAAATAATAACAGTCCCTATCATTACATCACTGTGATAATCCCTGGACATAATCCTCCTAAAGAGGTGAGCACAGTGAGGGCACACTACAACATTTCAATGAATAGTGACCTTTGTTATTATTTGTAAAATTTTCAATTTTATGTTTTAAATTTTTTAATTGTGTTTTAAATAAAACTGGAGCTGAATTTTGCAAATAACCGAAATTCTTCGACAATATGGTAATCAGTAAAAGCTGTTCAAGTAGCACCACTGGAATTCTAAAAGTTCTTATTTGCTCTTTGGGTTCTGATTCAATTCAACTTAACTCAGAAGAATTTGTTGGACAGCTATGGTACATAACGGGGACTGTGGTAGAGAGACAGCAGTGAATTTGAACCTCCTCTTCCCGTGGTCTACCACCTCTCCCCCCGGGCTCTTGGCTTGAGGGCCTTCGCATCTGCTCTCCCTTGTTTCTGGAACAGTTTTCCAGATACAGATATGCCTCTGTGGCTCTCTTCACTGAGGTTTTTGTTTAAATGCCATCTCACAGAAAAACATCTCCCTTACACATATATAACAAAGAATAGCTCACTACCACTCTCCATTCTCAAAGGTCTCTAACAATATTACTCTTCCTCATTTTTATTCCTAGCATGTGCCATGACATGACATCATTTATTTGTTTATTTGTTTCCTGATTCTTCCGAAGAAATATAAATTGTGAGAGATTGGGAACTTTGCTTTACTTACTGATGTTCTCCCCAGTGCTGAAAACTATATTCAGCTCATAGTTGGAAGGTTCTCAGTAAGTAGTTGCAAAAATATTCCTGACACATATGTGTATGTATATACATGCCTGTATATGAATGTGAGTTTATATATATGCATTCCTTATAATGTAACTTACTCTCCATAATTCACCTTGCAAGTGTTTTTTTTTTTAATTATTATTTTCTGCACGGTTTTTCCCCCAGTCACAATCTGTTGTTTCATCTTTATATTTTCTGTCTCTTCTCTAGGAACGGAACGCAACTTGCACGAACTGGCTAGCGGCAGAGGCTGCCTTGGAAAAGTATTATCTTTCTATTTTTTATGGGATTGAGTTCGTTGTGGGAATCCTTGGGAATACTGCTGTTGTTTTTGGCTACCTCTTCTGTCTCAAGAGCTGGAACAGCAGTAACATCTATCTCTTTAACCTCTCCATCTCGGACTTAGCTTTCTTGTGCACCCTTCCCATGCTGATGAGAACTTACGCCAGCAGAAACTGGATCTATGGAACCGCGTTGTGCGTGGGGAACCGATTCATGCTTCACGCCAACCTCTACACCAGCATTCTGTTCCTCACGTTCATCAGCATAGATCGATACTTGCTCATAAAATATCCTTTCCGGGAACACTTTCTGCAAAAGAAAGAGTTTGCAATTTTAGCCTCCTTTGCTATCTGGTTTTTAGTCACCTTAGAGCTCCTGCCCATGCTTCCCATCATAAACTCCGTGGGGACCGACAATGAGACTTTGGCCACCATATGTAATGATTATGCAAGTTCCGGGGACCCGGAACACAACCTCATTTACAGCTTGTGCCTGACATTGTTGGGATTCCTCATTCCTCTTTTCGTGATGTGCTTTTTCTATTACAAGATTGTTCTCTTCCTAAAGCAGAGGAGCAGGCAGCTTGTTACGGCGCTGTCCCTTGGAAAGCCTCTCACCTTGGTCATCACGGCCGTGGTGACCTTCTCTGTGCTCTTCACGCCCTACCATGTCATGAGGAACGTGAGGATCGCGTCGCGCCTGAAGCACTGGCAGCAGTACCACTGCGCCCAGGTCATCATCAGATCCCTCTACATCGTGACTCGGCCTTTGGCCTTTCTGAACAGTGTCATAAACCCCGTCTTCTATTTCCTCGTGGGAGATCACTTCAGGGAGATGCTGGTGAATAAACTGCAGCACTACTTCAAATCCCTTCCGTTCTTTAGGAGATGAGCTCATGAACGCACATTTTTATGTAGAGAAAAGCAAGTTGCCTATGAAGCAGGTGTTTCACAGACGCAGCTGTAAGGCAGTTAGAATTTGCTTTAACTCTTAGACACAAATGAGAGAGGAACACAGATGTGAGCCTGGTTTAAAGGCAAGTCGTACCTGGAGTATGTGAAAAGAATGGGGTGAGGAGAGGGTATTGGTTTCTTCTCCTAGGAATTGAAAGGAGTTGAACTAGCGCTACCTAACATTTGGGGCTGTGAGTCCTGAGTTTCATGAGACATCCCAATCAGTGCAAACGGAACAAAAGATACAGCAAATTATCTGCATTTAATCAGTGGTCAGACTGTAAAAAAAAAAAAAATTACCTTTAGATATGTGTTCTTCAAGAAATTTGAAGTAAACAGAAACAAATATTGATCATGAATTGAAGTTAACCTGTAATTTATCAGTCCTTTGGTGTCCTATGGTTTATGGTGGAAATAATCTTAAGTTTAAAAGAACCTGAAGAGGTAATTCAACAAAGGCTGAGAATATATTTGAGCTTGTCAGAGAATTTAAATGTGAACGATTTTATTAAAATGCTAGAGTGAGTGATATGCCAAGGATATTTGCAAAAATTTTAGAGTAAATAGAATACAAGTGCCTATCAGAAAACTCAAAGCAAAACAAAATAAAAGTGAATACATTGTTTCTCTGATGATTTTGCCATCTGACATTTTATTGTCACAATTTGACCATCAGTGCACAGAAATATATTAAAGGTCATTAACTTTGGATGCTTTTGATTAAATAGTAAACTTTAAAAATATTTTTAAAAATATTAATATTAAAAACCATCAAATAAAAGGAAGTGAAATGATAATAGTAAAGTCATTGGGTTAGTTTTCCAATTGGATTAGTAACCAAATTGTTAGTAAGTCACAATTTTTCTCCTTTTGTTTTGTAAGCACTGGAATAAATTGAAAGAGTGACTTTGTCTTAGGGAGAGCAACTCACATGTGGAGTAAATCTTACTTTCATAGAACATTACACAAGACCATTGGAGGATATGTTCTAAACAAAATTCCCTTTATGAAATTATAAAACATAAGGAATTTTTACTTTCATATCAATCTAGATTATGCCAGGGGGGTTTGTGAGTTCACACTCCAAAATATAAAACAAATGTAGGAGAAAAACAGGTGTTGCATTAGCTTTTTAAAGTCAAATAAATATTACATAATAATTCACTGATCGGCAACAAAACGTGTTTCTGGCTGTATGTCTGAGTTCCTTTTCTGGATGTCATTAGCTGTAAGAATTGAATAATGTGAAGAACAAAATAAAGGTTTTGAATATAGAGATATGGAATTCCATTGTCCTTCTTATTCTGAGATACTCTATTATATCAATATTCCAATGTCTCCAAATATTACCAGTTAATATCTGGGAGCAATTGAAATATTAGAAAGATGTATTTCTCACAAATAATTTCTTTTCTTACATGGTGCAAGGCCTTAAGATATTTTCTGTCATGCTTCACCTTTATTATCAATATTTTTAAATCTTTAATACATGTATAACTTTAGAACTGCCTAGTAATAAACTGAAAACAGAACTTCTGAATTTCTGTATCAGAAAGGGTCATGTAAAGGGTCTTAAGACAAGTATATTCTTCTATAAACTTAGCAATATACAAATTAGCTTTAATTTGTATTTAATGAATGAATTTTAATTCGTAAAGATAAAATTAAATTTTTGCTCTTTCCACCCCATTATAAGAATTGGCAGGGGTGGACGCTTTCTAATAGCAGTGAAATATATTTGGTCAAACCATAAAATTTGACCAAATATAGGGGTGAAATATATTTGGTCAAACCATAAAATTTACATATCCCTTGTAACTAAAAGGTAAAGACATTTTATACCACATTTCTTAATTCTTTTTTTGCTCAAATTTTTCTTGTGGTAACTTAATCCTTAGCAGACTACAGGGGCCTGCACTAAATTATAAGAGCTATTCCTTTGCTTTTTGTACTAGGTACTTATAAGAATTATAAGCAATAAAGAGTGGACATCCTTTGTTGGTGTATGTTTTTTAAGGGAAACTATTTTGAGTTTTTGTACTTTGTCTTTTCATTGGTTTCCTAATGTCTTCAGAATGATGTCTAAACTATTAATCCAGCATTTCATAATCTGAACCCACATATTCTTTTTGCATAATCTCCCTCCACTGCTGTAACAAATTCTATTCTGCAACAAAGACCCCTGTATCTATGCTCTGAGTATCAGCCCTCAGCCTATGTCTGCCATCTTTTTTCACTCTTCAGAGTCTTCACATATTTGTGGGTTTTGATTTGTTTTATTTTAATGTTGCTAGAGTTTAGAAATGTTATTTGTAGGAAATATGGCATAGTAAGACTTACTAAGCCATTACCACAAAGAAAAAATTTTCCCTCTTAAAAGTAAGTAAGCTTGACTAGGTAATGTCCTTCTATATCCTATATTAGTTTAAATTCTCACAGTGTCTAAAAATCTTAAGGCCTTGCTTCATCTAGCCCATCTTTCATCTCTAGTTTTTGCATTTATTCATGCTGTCCCTCTTTTCTATTGTACTCGTTTTGATTTAAACTCCAGTCTCTGCAGTGAGTTTCCAACCAAAAGGCAGTTAAGAAAAATGCAATAATTTTGCTGGAGACAAACATCATTCACTGTCCGTGGTCCTGCCTTGACAGCTTTCACCTCTCTCTAAGCCCAGCACTCCACTTCTTGCCTCAAGAAAATTAATTTTGCCTCACTTTAAGACCATTATATCAAACATATTTGCCTATCCCAGTGATGTTACCATGGATTTGTTTTCCTCAAGAAATGTAGAGCTGGCCAGGACTGGTGGCTCATGCCCCTAATCCTTCCACTCTGGGAGGCTGAGCTCAGGGGATCACTTGAGACCCTGTCTCTACTAAAATTAGAAATATTAGCCAGGCACAGTGGCATGCACTTTTAGTCCCAGCTACTTAGGAGGATAAGGCAGGAGAAATGCCTATGTCTAGGAGTTTGAGATTACTATAAGCCAGGTTACGGCCATGATCCTCTAGCCTGGGGCAACACAGTGGGTCTCTGTCAAAGGAGAAGGAGGAGGAAGAGAAGGAGGAGAAGGAGAAAAGAAATGTAGAAGTGCCTCTAAAAGAAATTCCTACCTCAAATCCAAAAGGGATAGAAATTTCTCCATCTCATGGACATACTTCTCATCTTTCTATAAGAAATATTTAATCTTTTTTTGCCTATTCTTATAGGATGCAAGAAAAGCAATGGGGGTAAGCCATAATAGATACAACACAAGAGCCACAGGAATCCAAGTGTTTTGGCTGCTCCCATGACGTGTGTGTGTGTGTGTGTGTGTGTGTGTGTGTAATTGCTTTGAGCCCAGCATAATTCCCTCCTAATTCTTTTTAGTGCCTCTCTTCTGTCAAGTGTCGTCAGCACATCATATATTCAGTCAGAATATTAGAAGTAAGTGCTATTAACTACAAGAATGGAATATGTCAGGGTATAAAATAACCCACAGGTGTAAAATATTATACATCATATATGACATACGATGTATTAAATGGACATACAGAGGATGCCAAAAACGCATACACATTATAAGAAAGAAAAAAATGGTATTAAAGTTATAATGCTCATTATATACCGATATCAAAAGATGAATCCAAGTCACATTGAGCACCTCTTGTAATTATAGAAGTCAAACGTGACTTGAGTATTACAAATTTAATGTATATTTTTCTTTTGTTAAAATGTGTATACATTTTTTAGTACCTTCTGTTTATTTACTTTTACATACATGGACATTTGTAAATGTGAATGTACATGAAAATGAACAGAAATATAAATATTTTTTCTCAGACCTGCCTACCATCATGTGAAGGAGATCTTTCTTTATGTCCTTATACCAATGTAGATGACAACCCAGTTGTTAGATTCACATGTTCAAATTAGTGAGAAAACTCCACTTTGGCCTTGAATTCAAACCCACTTTCAGGTGTTTTGAGCTCCATTTCCTATGGACTCCTGTGGAACATTCTATTTGCCAGAGCCCCAGTAGAAAAGAAATATGATCTGTTAGGATTCGGGTATGAATCTCATCCTAAATTTTCAACACAAATGATAGGAGTGGACTTAGGTAAAATTTATTATGTGCCAGGTTCTGCTGCCCTAACACTTTATATGTTTTAACTCACTCAGCACTCACCAAACCCTATGAAGGTTACACATGAAGAAACCAAGGCACATCTATAGTAGGATTTCTTCTGTAAGATTTGAATTCAGTCAAAAAGGCTGCATTTAAGAACCTAGAAGGCCCCAGGTTTCCCTCCCTGATGTGCAGCACAGTGAGTCTTTTGGATTTTTCTTTTGGTTCAAGCCCCCAAGATTTATGTCTGAGTTCTGCAGATAAGAGTGAATGTTAGTTAATTCAAGAAGAGTTTTTTCATCCAAAGCTTTGAAAAATGTTGGAGGCCACGTAGCATAGCTTTGTGAGCAACATTCCCCCCCAATACCCCAAATGCCCAAATGCTGCAACATAAAAATGAAGAAGAATGATTCTCCCACACCTGTATTCAGAATGTGAAGCTGTTTTGAAACTCAAATAGTAGATATAACATTCATTGTTAATTATGGTAGTGCCCATGACACTTTGTGATGCCAGATCAAAATAGAAGTAGCTGGCAGCCACTGTGGCTCAAAGAAGTAGGGCACCAGCCCCATATACCAGAGGTGGTGGGTTCAAACCTGGCCCTGGCCAAAAAGAAAAAAAAAAAAGAAGTAGCCACCAAAGTGTCAAATCATAACTCTTGCATTCTGCAAACACAGGAAAATAGTTATGTTAAAGAACTTGGAACAGACGAGGAAAAGGAAGCATAAGCATGTGTGTATGTGTGAGCATTAATAAGATACATCCCAGTGGCCTTAGACAAACACACACCTGCCTGGGATTTTATACATGCTGAGGAGGTAGAACATGA